CTTTTTCAGGTTACAGTCTGTAGGGTTGCCACAGCACTGCGTCGGGCGTCTGAGAGGAGCGGAGTGCCTCCCAAAGTTTTGTTTTTTGAAGTGTTTAGCACATCCTGCACCGTGAGATGATACTGGAGCTTGAGACATCCCGATCCCAAAACTATCTGATTGCCGTAACCCTTGTCGGACGACAGCAAGCCTTCAGCGAAGATCGTGATGCTACTTGATCTGGTCCAGAGTCGGTGATGCATGCTGCAATTCGCATCACGTCATGGTGAGCATGGGACTGAGGAACACCGCGGCATCCGTGACAGATCTGATGTCGCGAAATTGTGGGCTGTACGACCGTGAATGGTAAAGCCTCGCAAATTTAGGGTTCGACACTTGCAGTAGGTCTCAGAATATAGGGGCCTTGGAAGGGTGTTCGACAAAGGGTTCTATAGGGCTTTGGGTGTAGGGTCAGGGTGTTTAACAAGAGCCCTAGGCGGGTGTCGGTAGTTAACTAATTTAGGCTTTCATGGCTTAATGGGAACATACTGCAGGGGCCTTAATAATTGGAATTTGGAATAGGGTTCTGGATCCCTTAACAATATAAATACAACAAGGAACCCTAAGGAATAATATTGGTAATTATTTCGGCTTCTACTATTACATAGGAACTCTATTCGCCAAACTGCTTTTTCTGTCTTGGGCGTGGCGTGGAGACAGCCCCGCTCAACTTGTACATCCAAATCCTGAACCCCATACGCCCATGGCGTCCTGTGTTACAGGCGCGGTACAGTAACGTAAACACCCTAAACCCTAGAATTTCCTCAGCCCTACACCCCGAATCCCAATCACCTAAACCCTAAAACCCGAATATAATTGATATAGGAGCCTTAATAATTAGAACAAGGCTTCAGGGCCCATTATACTATAACTACATGAAGGATCCCCCAAGATAGTATAGATCATTATTTAGGCCCTATATTAACCTAAACCCTAAACCCGAATAGAGCTCTGCAGCTGCCTCGATGGGATAGTCAGTGGGGTTGACGAGCCTCCGTACGTCCGCGAGAGCTAGCTTTGGGGGTTTAGAGTTTTTAAGGTGTTTTTTGTTGAACACGTTTGTCCCCCCATCGGCATGCGTCTCAGGGAGGGCTTAGGGTATTTCTTTAGGGCTTTTAGGTCTTAGAGTTTTCTTTTTTCGCCGTTAACGGCTTGTCGATCGGCAGAAAAGCCGGGTTATGGGTTCAGGTAGGGTTTAGGGGCTCAAGGTTCCCACAAGAGCATAAAAGCCTGAATACTTACGTTTGAAGACATTATGCTACAGTTATAATCAGGAACCCCCCCAAAATAGTATAGGTAATTAGTTTAGGTCCCTACATTACTCCTTACTGTCACAGTCATCCCTTTTTGGGGGGTAGTTATACTGTATTCATACTCCAGAGGGCACTGTAACTTGTATACTTATTCTGGCCCCTCAGGATTTCAGTCCCACCGTCTGCCCCAGGTTGCGGTAAACCCTGCGCAGCTCTGAAGTCAAAGCCCAAGACGAACCCTTTCAACCCTGAACCCCAGAAAGCCCAGAGTTGAGGTTTTGGGGGTCACTCTATTGCAACATTCATAAAACTTGCTACGGAAGAGGGAACAAAAATTTCTGGAGGTGCACGTTCTTGCCCGATTCCTGGTGAACGGCCGAAGCCGTAAGCCTTAAACTCTGTAATATAGGGGCCTGAATAATTTCCTATATGATTTTGGGGCTCCTTATAATTATCGTATAATGGGCCGCAAAGCCCTATTCTTTAAGGCCCCTATATCACCCTAAACCCAAACTCTGAACTCTAAGCCCCACCCTGCCTACCCCAAACTCTACACCCCCAAACCTTCCAGCCGACTCTTGACCCACGAGGCCCCTGCCAGAACTCCTCTGAGCATCCCTCGCCGTTGGGCATGACCTCAAACCGGGCAGAAAGCTTCACATACCCTGCCTTGACCCACTAGTATGAGCCCAAAGACAGAATCGTGACCACAAAAGGGTAGGCTACGGAAAGTACCAGAAAGTTTGGGGAACACCTTACTCTCAACCTCAACGTCCGGAAGATGTCCAAAGTGCTTAGGTGCACGGTTGACACGATATACACCCGACCTACAGACCTACTTTTAACCGCAAGCCCCAACTGATTGGAAGTCGCCGGGGCTTTTGATTTTGACATGCCGCGGTTTGGGATTCCCTGATATGATAGCACTAATGCGAACGTCCAATCGGATCAACATCCCTTTTGAGTCCCATCCCCAACCCAAAACCCTAAACCCCAACTGTGGTACCTTAAACCCACCATGTCCTAACTCTCCCCTGAACCCTAAACTCTGTACACTCAGCCCTAAACACAATTCCCTAAAACCCCGCAAAGCCCAAACCTCAAGCCCCTAAAGCCTAAACTCTACCTTAAACTACCATCATAATCTATATGCTCGTTTGCAGGTTCCTATTATAGACGCCAATACAGAGTTCATGATTGGCATTTAGAGTTGATGCCTCTGCAGCTGCCTCGCAGGCCGCAGCTCCCACTCCCTAGAACTCCCAAGAACTCCCAGTGCCCTAAAGGCAGGACCAGATCAGGTTAGGGTTTAGGGTTTAGGGTTTAGGGTTTAGGGTTTAGGGTTTAGGGTTTAGGGTTTAGGGTTTAGGGTTTAGGGTTTAGGGTTTAGGGTAAGATCGCACTCTGACCCTAAACCCCAAGCCGCAGGCACAAGCGTGTGATTTAGGCATTCCTTCGTTCAGTCGCTCTGGACTGCAGCGTTGTAAGGCTTCTGGTAGTTCGTCAACCCTGTATACATCGCAGGGCTCTTGCCACAAACACTTCAGAACCCTAAACCCTAAACCCTAAACCCTATGGGACATGTCCGCCGAAACTCAACAGTCTGGACAATAATAGCTCTCAACTCAGAACCGCAAATCCAGAGCCCGCCTAGAAGGCCCCCGAAATATCTCTTCGGTCCCAGCCTAGTGGGGTGCCTGAGCTCCGAAACCCCAACCGATTTAGAAAGGCTTAGCTTTTTGTCTGAATTCCTCTTATTGCCACGCCTCCGGTCAGAAGAACGACAACAAGCATGTAAACCCTTAACCCCGAAACCCAACATACACATTACCAGCATGGCTATGCGGCCCTTTACGAATCGGGCTGTTTAGGAATTTGGCTTTACACTCACCAAAGCCCTGAACCTGAACCCTAACCCCTAAACCCTGAACCCTTAACCCCAAAACCCTAAACCCTAAACCCTAACCCCTAAACCCTGAACCCTTAACCCCAAAACCCTGAACCCGAACTCAGACCGCCAAGAGCATCCGGCAGGGCCAAGCGTGTAGCTCAGGCTCGGCCTAGAAAAGCAAGCAGCTTCAACAACCCTAAACCCTAAACCCTAAACCCTAAACCGGGGCCCTTTGACTCTCGCACCCGGCCTGCTACGTTTAGGGTTTAGGGTTTGTTCGGCAGTTTTGAGCTCTGTAGGGTGTTAATCCTGTTCCGTAGGCTTCTTCTGTGGCAAACTGTAAGTCTTCAAACGGCTTTTAACTAGGTTTTTTGGGGTGTTACGGTCTACGCTTTGTCGGTTGGCTTGGGGCTGCTTGGAGATTCATGGGTAGTTATAGGTGGGGTTATAAGTCCCCTAATAGGTGTAGGTTATAACACCAGTTCCCCCTGCCTACCTACTTATACCCCCGCCGAGAACTACCTGAACTACCGGCGACCCACGAATTGAAAAACAACAATCCCAAAGGCTCCATGTGCCTTTATAGTAGATACTTAGGCCTTACAGGGGTCCCTATATAGGTACTTTAAGGCCTAAGTATCTACTATATGGGCACATGGAGCCTTAGGGAATAGCCCAACACCTGAACCTCAAAGGCCCGTGGGTTTAGTCGAGCAGAGTCTTGCAGCCGCGAGGTTGAGGCATGGCGTGGGCTTCGAAGCGCACGCAGGTTGTGCAGAGTAAGTCTAGAACTCTCACAGAGCACTATAACAAGGGTACCGTCATAAGGCTTATGATAAGGATTACTGTGCGGATTTGGGTCATGGCGCCGGGACATGATAGCTCGAAGACCATCAACAAAAGGAACAACCCTTCACTCCCTAATGAGAGCTATACATCCCCAACACAACCACCGTGAACCCGAAAGTCTTGAGGCCCTGAAATATTGAAGCCCATCAGCAGACATCCTGCACCCTTGAACCGAGCCCGCAAACCGCAGGAGGAGCCTTCGACCCGAACCTCCGAACTCTGAAACCCAAAGCCCTTAACCAAAAACAAAAACCCCCAAGCCCTAGACTCAACATCCTTAAACTCTGGCGTAGAATCCTACCAAGCCGTTGTGGCAACACTTATCGATAAATCCCTCACCATATACTCCTAAAATCCTCTAATCAATACCTACTGAAACGAACCCTAAACCCTAAACCCTAAACCCTAAACCCTTGAAAGCCCCTGAACTTACCAAAACTGAAACCTTGTCATCTTGGCCGCCGCACCGGACCTCCAAGCGGAGAACATCTCCGCGACCCGTCACCTCAAGGGGCTGGATCTTGGTTTAAAGGCTTAGTTGCTTTTTTGCATGGGAGTTTTAAGGGATTCAAGGATTGTGTATAAATTATAGGGACTAAAGGATTTGTAGGTGCTTGTAAGAGCTTCTCTGTCGTAGCGTTTAGGTACTTTCAGACACAGTTTCACCCTAGCCTCCTGAGCCCACAACCGCAGAAAAGCGGGGTTCCTGTGCCGATGTGAACCCTGCTAGGGATCGAATCCTGAACTACATCTCGTATGACCGATAGGTCCTGCTTCAGACGCTCTCAAATTGAGTCGCAAAGCTGTTTTGCAGACTGCTCGAACCAAGATCCAAGGACAGCGGTGCTCATACAAAATGCGCGCATCAGATTCGGACGTCCGCAGGCGCCAAGGGATTGCAAAGCGCACTGGGTGCGTCTAGCTCGGAACGGAGACGGTCCAGAAATTCCACACTCGGGTGGAAGCGGGCGACAACAGCTCTCCAGGGTAATTTTCGATAAATTTCTTGCGCACGGTCTTGGCAGCCTCAGCCGTGATTTTGGACACCGGACAGGCGGCGCAGGTACAGCCCCGGACAGGCGGCGTAGGGTGGACCCCGGAACAGCAGACCGCATTGTGCACCGGTTTCGGGTTGGGGCTCAGTTTCGGGCTTTGGTTTCGGCTTCGGCTTCTCAGATATATAAAGGTTTCGAAGTCAAGGTTTCCTACACCCTAGATCTATCTACCTATTTCTCTATCTATTACCAGTCGGCGTAAGAGAAACAAACCCGTATCTACATTCGTAGATGTATCGACATAGGCATGTGTACATATATATATATATAGAGAGAGAGAGAGAACAAAAAAACAAGTTAGATATGCATAAACCTTAAACCGTTCGAGCTCCTCAAGTCTTTGCTTCAGAATGTGCAGGCCACAGACCTTCAGTCTCCAGAGCTGCAGACGTCATGGCTGCATATGGCTGCAGCCCTCGTTTAAAGCCTCAACAAGTCGGAACTATAGGGTCCATCTTCCAAGAACCTTGTGGGTCTAGGGATTTAAGGTTTAAAGTATGCTTTCGAGTTTAGGGTTTAACAACCCCAGTACGAGCCACTACGCCTATGTAACCTGAGAGCTGAGCTCCCCAGAGAAAAAGGAAGCCTTAAGCCACAAAAGCCTAAAGCCCCAGAGCTGAACAGAAGGGTCTGATAGTTATAGTACCAGACTCTGGGGGATTCAAAATCTCATTAAGGAGCCCTGAGGAAAATTGCCATTCCTAGTATTAAAGCCGCTATGTCACAACCCTAAACCCTGCAGTCTTTCGCCCTAAAGACCTGAAGCCTCATATAATACCCGAACCCCAAGCCCTAAATCCTAAATCCCAAACCCTAAACCCTAAACTCTAAACCCTAAATCTAAAATCCCAAACCCCAAAGCCCTATGAACGGGTTCTGAAGCGAGTTCGCTATCGCTAAACCTGCGCAGAATCCTGAGGGCCCTTTAAAGAACCCTTATGGGTTTAGGGTTTAGGGTTTAGGGTTTAGGGTTTAGGGTTTAGGGTTTTATGGTGCCTTTTTATAGTACCCCTGTAGAAGCCATGTAATAGAAACCTGTTTCGGGGGTTCCTTATGATAATTATACTATAATGGGCCCTAAGACCCTATTCCAGGTATTAAGGCCCCTAAAATACGACCCTTTGAGGAAGCCTGGAATTCTAAACAGCTGCAAGGCACCACGATGGACTTCCGGCGCTGGTTGTCGCGCATGCGGATCTGCAGCGTGCCTTGCGGGGCGTGGTCTTTGCAAGCCAACGCTGCGCTTTTGAGGGGTTCGGGGTTCAGGGTCCCAAAAGGCATGCAGTAATATAGGGGCCTTAATAGCTAGAATAGGCCCATTATACTATAAGTATAATACAGAACCGCCAAAATAGTATTGGTAGTTATTTTCGGCCCCTGACCCTAAACCCTAATTGGGGGTCTAGGCTTGGGTTTAGGTTTCCGGGTGTTGGGACGGAAGGTTTGCGGTCGCAACAAGGGCCGCTCCGGGAAGTCACCGGGGTGTTCTGCAAAGCCTCAACTCTGCAACCTCAGGGTTTAGGTTTTAGGGGTTAGGGGTTTAGGGTTTAGGGGTTTAGGGATTCAGGGTTTAGGGCTCAGGAGTTTGCGCCGTGGTCGCTCGCGCCTCTT